CAAAAGAAGTCCATTGAGAATGGCCACTTATGCAAAACATGTTTAATCTCAGCTTTCTGTATTTGGGGAGAATCACAAGTGTGCAGTGAGGATTAAAATAAATAAATAAATAAATAAAATGAGTGTGATTTATGCATCACCATGCTCCTACTTCCTACCTGTCATCATTCGTTCTTAGAACATCCACCTCTGCTTACTCAAAACTCTCACRGGCAAAATTACCAGCCAAGTCAGAGTAGAAATTATTATGCATACTACAGTAACCATGGAAGAACTACATCACAGCAAAAATCTCTGTTTATGAAACTGAAATGCAACAGCAGAATAATTTTGTGTGATCCTGAAATTATCAAGGCCCAGGATATTATGCAGGAACATTTGGAAGACAGAGGAGTATTGCGGAGGTACTTTAACTCTTTAGCTCCTTTTATTTAAATGACAGTAGAAACTATCAATATGCATAGGTTTACTTTATAATCAGCAACAAAAAAGTTGTTTAGCTAAGCACTGAGAGATAATTGATTAATGTAAGATTTTTTTTGTCACACTAAAAACATGTGTAAAATAACATCTCTTCCATTCTGTCCCTCTCTTTATCACAATGATATTCTGAAGTTGATAAATACAAGATAACTGTATCAAAACTGAGCAACTTGATTTTTACTTAATAATTTGAAGGTTTATTTAACTGTTTATTTAAATTGTTGGTAGGTGATTCACTGAGACAAAAAAAGCAAACAAACAACAACAAAAACCCATTACATTATCTAAAGTTTCCCATAAAATGGATCCAAAACTACTATCTAAATCCTTCTGAATGATTAAGTATACTGAAGAGATTAGAGTGTCATTTTGCAATAAGAAAGAGTAGAGATGAGAGGGAAAAAAAAAAAAAAAAGATACAGATCATTGTCAAGTGTCCATATCTGAAACAATAATCTTCAACACATTTTACTCTATGAATCATTCAGCGATCATAAAGTAATAATAGTACCTTAAGAAAAGGGAAGATGGTATATTATAATGTTCATACCATTTACAAATAACATTTGGTTTCTTTTGTCAGTTAGCCTTCTGTGCCTAAGGAAGCTATTAAACTGGTTTAAAATCTATGTGTCTCTGGATGACTACATTGACAGTGTCACAGATTACATAACTTTGCATCAGGAAATAGTCATCTTTAATGTTCTTTCTCAGGAAGTCTGTACGTACTTTAAACACAGGGGATTCAGCTACAGATTCTGACAAAGTATTGCATCACCTAAGACCAAGGAAGTCAAAAATATTCCATCTGAGTGTAGACCTATCAGTCCTTGAAATTCTGCAGTTTAAACAGCATTAAACTCTTTATTGTTTGAAATCTACAATGAAAAGCATGAATAAAATAGGGGAAAAAAATCCTGTAAAACAGAAATAAGCTGTTTTTAGAATAATGCTTTAGTAGACTAGGAAGCTAAAGCAAGGGGGGAGGGGGGAAAAAAAGCACATGAAGCCTGAGCAAAACCTGCAATTAGAAAAGTAGACAGCCCCTAGTTTATGTGGTGCTACTGACACAACGTTCACTTAAGCCCATCCAGGTGCCCCTATCCCTGACAGGCAGGAAGGAAAAATGCTAGGAAACTAGGTATAAGATTCCCGCAGTCTAGAATTTGAGTGTTGCAAGAGAAATTCCTAACAGTTCTTTGCTGTTTTACTCCAGATGGAGAAATTCAAACTGCGTAGGCAGACAGAAGGATCTCTCAGCACAAGGGAAAGCCYGTTCTATCCAGAGAAGGCATGTCCATGTGCAACTCCATGTAAAAATACCTGGGCTCATTTGTGGGCCGGGAACAGGGGAGCTAGGCTTGCAGCTGGGAAGCAGATCAGATCAAGCCAGGCAGCACACAGTAAGAGCACAGCTACTCTGTTTCTGCTATAGCACTGCCTTGCTTAGAGCTAGCTCCAAAATCATGTTGGCCAGCATGAAATGAGAACCTCTCCTCCACTTACCCCGGCAAACACCTTACCCCTGCTCTCTGAAAATATACTAGAAAGAACAGTGGGAACCTTTCTGTTTAAGAACAGCCATGCCACAAAAGGCATATAAAAGGGCATACAAACTGAGGAAAAAAAATAGATCGGAGAGGAACAAGGACTCCAGCAATCTGAAGAAGGAGGCTTAGCATAGCTTTCCAAGAAGTGCAGTGGTACTGGTGCCCAAGGGGATTTTAAACTGGAACCTGTTGAACCTGAAGTAAAGTAGATCTGCTCTGTATCACAGGAGAATGGAGCTGAAAGTTCCCAAGGCCCTCTAGTCTTATCTCCTAAGCAAAAAAAAAAAAAAAAAAAAAAAAAAAAATCCAGACACTACTAACTACGGTTAAAAGAAGGTATTTCTGGGGCAGTGCTCTCAGCATCATACAGGTAGTAACTTCTGTTTGCCTGTCACATTTTTGTTTGCAAGGGAATATTGCTAGCAATAGTTGGGCAGAAGAAAAGATAACTTGTGTCCCAAAGCAGATAACCTAGATTCCTTAGTTCTCCTCAAAATCAAAACAGATGTACAAAATTTAAAAGAAGACGTCATTTAAGTCTGGACACAAAGGACATCAATGGTCATAAAAAATAATATTAAATTATATCACTGTAAACAAACAAAAATAAATCATTGCAATAAAATAGATTAAAAAAAATTCTTCCTTGGTTATTATTCAACATGAAATTCACAAAGAAGATAATTATCTTTTACACTAGCTAAATCTTTTCAAACATGCTTTCAACAATATTAGTCATAGCATAGCTATGGAAACACCAAGATGAAACGGATAACACCAGTCCAAATCTCCCCCCCATAGCGCAGGAAGTAGAGGTACCTTCTTACAAAATTAGCACCTGCATCCTATTTTAAAGTCTTTGGGCTGTCTGATATACACAAAATCTCACAAAGTCAAATTTCTGTATATGAAATGAGGGTATGTATATTATATTATATTATGGTGTGTTACTCAGACAACAGGTGCTTTGTAGATTAAATCTGTATCCTGAAAACAGCACATGCTCTTAAATGTGCTCAGATTTCAGGGCAAGATTAAGTAAGCAGAATTAGATATTCAGTCAGCAATTATTTGTACAAAATTAAAAATTACTCATAGAATACACCTGCAATTTAAAAAAAAAATAAAAAGGGGAACATCTTTCTGGAAACTGTGGAAACTGCTGGCCTAGTTATTTTATTTCAATGCTTTAGCAATATCTGAAATGCTTTACTTACTAATAGTTCTCTATAATTCAAAGAAAAAAAATAATTCAAAAATGAAGAGGGAGGGAAGTAAAAAGAGGAGGGGAGAATAAAGTTACAGTCTCTGTCGTATTTTAATGCCTTGCTTTCAAATTAAATCATGAAAAAATAAACAAGCTGAGTATTCTTAAAACATGGATTATTGACCCAACAGATTGTAACTACTTGAAAGAAGTCATCATAATATACCACACAGATATACAGATAGTGTTTTTAGATGTATGGATGGCTGACCCTAATATACTGTCAAAAGTATTCTATCATGACAGAGCAGAAGCCATGCATAAGAGCAAGATGTATGTGCTAAATATTTTTACTACTTTTTTTTTTTCTGGAAAAAAAGTCTCTATGACTACATCAGAGCTATGTTTCTACACAGCCAAATGAATGAAATTATTTTTCAGTGCTATTAGTATGCAAGAATGCTGAAGACTCCTTAAGCATGCTTTCTACGTTAAAGGAAGCTGTTAAATTACAAGATAGCGAAGTGTTTAGAAGCATCAAACTCCCAAATACATTTCCAGTTCTATGAAATAGAAATTAGCCACATATTTTTGCTTACATCACAGTAAGCAAGGAAAAGTATTCCCTGGAACATACTTTATTCTCCACATCTGAATACACAGCGTATCTTTATGATCAGTTATAAATCCCTGAAGTCTGTTTATACAAAATACATTAAGCAATCCTGTCACAATAAAGTAAACTACAGAGCACACTGCAGATCCAAACATTCAGCACATCAACTTTAGCATAACATTGTATCATATCTCCTTTTGGAAAACAAACCAGCCTGTCATTTGAAAAAAAAAAAAATGTTCTAATTTATATTTTAGAGAACCAATATCCTGTCTCTGCACCAGGGACAGCCTCCCTTAAGCATTTAAGTGCTATCAATGAAAAGTAGCAGGTTTTCCTCCAATTCTGAACTCTCAGTGACCGTCATGGAAAAGTAACAATTTCCCATTCCCTATCAGGCAGCATCATTAATAATCATCAAAACAAAACACCTTCAAGCAAATCTCTGCTTCTGRTTAATCTCCATCCCAATGCATTAAATCCATAAGAGGCAACCTGCTGCCTCACTCACGCCTTTTTAATGAGGGACAGAAGTTGGGTGTGAGGGTTTTGGTCTCCTTAAGGCTACAGAGTGTACCTCCTGTGGCAGGCAGCCAGCTATCCAGGAGTGTTCTTTGCTGCTTCACTCACAGCTATTTTCTAAGGGATAATTTTTAAAAAAAACAGACACACGCAGGCACACAAGCCACCACGATACAGTGACAGGGTTTTGTTTCTGTCTACAGTCCAGCAACTGTTTCTGTTTCTAATAAGGATCTCAAGGTTTCATCCAGTCTGGGATTGGGGATTGTTTTTCTGTATGGAAGTCAGGGGAAGGGCGGGGGGGATGTCTGGATTCCCCCCCGCCTTACACACAAACACACACACACAGAGTCACTCACTACCTTCCCTTCTCTCCAGCATAACACATAAAACACCTCTCTTCAGCTTAACCGACCAAGGCTCAATTAGTGCAACATTCTGCACACATCTAAGCAACCAAGAGGCAGGAGTATTTAGTTCAATCCTCCTGTGTATTGCAGAGAATCCTTTAGCTACATGTGAAAAAAAAAAAAAAAAAAAAAAAAAAATTTCTTCCATAAAAAAAAAAACCCTCACAATGTAATTTACACAGCGTGGAAACGCCTACAAGGAGATGAAGTACCTGCACTGGGGAGATGTTCAGTTGTTCACTTCATCTTCCGTTGACAAGGAAACCAAACCGCACTTCATTCTCCAGGAAAACCTTCCTCTGCCATCATTTGAAAATGTATTTATTTGTATATATGTATATCTATCACCATCATAATCATAATAATAACCATCATAAAATAAGCTGGGAAAAGAATAAAAAAGTCAAGGTGCAAAATGTGCAAAAGTATGATCATTGCTTCAGCTTTCTGTTCTGTTATCTTTAAGGAGAAAAAAAAGTATTTAAAAATAACAACTGTAACACGCTGCAAGAAAAGTTTCATGTTATAAACAGGCACCAAAAACCAAAAAAGAAAAAAAGGGGAAAAAAAAAAGAAAAAGCCCTGCTAAATGCACTGTCAAAAAAAGAAACAATAACAAAAATAATAAAATTAACATCTTGCTCTGTGGCTTGCACCAGTACTGCAAGATTACAAACTCTTTGTAAACACCGCTGTAAAATGCATTTGTAATTCCCATATATATATATATATATGAAAAAGAAAAGCCTAAAAAAAAAAAAAAATAGAAATAAAAGAACACCAGAGAAAATCCTTTGCAAAAAGAGTTAGGAACATGCCTTTTCTCTTATCTTAAAAAAAAATAAGCATCATATTGCACACTGCTTTTCTGTGCCACAACAAAACCAGTTGCATATATAGATATATAGCTACTAAATGAATATCAGTTGTTGCTGGTCTGGCAAGTCTTTATTATTAATATTATCATTTTTCATTCCCAGTGACTCCCGGCCCCAGCAGCATCTTTTGCACACAGTTTAGTAACCATCGCATGCTAAGAAGAAAAAAAAAATAAAAAAAAGAGAGAGAGGAAAAAAAAATAAGAAAAACTTGTCATCAGCAAAAGATCAAATCCATTTAAACAATAATCAAAGAGGAAGAAAAAAAAAGAAGCAAAAAAAAAGGAAGAAAAAAAAAAGGACAAAAAAAGGAGGACAAGAATGTCAGCGGAAAGGTACTCACCGAGCGGGAGTAAAAGGGAGGAATAAAAATGAGAGTTACTATAAAATACAGTATGGCGGTGGAAGAAGGAATGAGGCGCTTTTTTTTTTTTTTTTTT